TCATGACTAACCTCCATGCCAAATATGAAGACTAAGGGTCAAAGGAATCTTAAGTTATTGGGCGGACAAGCTTTTTGAAGTCAAGGCCCCTGTGACCTTGACCTTTGACCTAGTGACCTCAAAATCAATAGGGGTCATCTACTAATCATGACTAACCTCCATGCCAAATATGAAGACTAAGGGTCAAAGGAATCTTAAGTTATTGGGCGGACAAGAAAAACCGACGGACGGCCGGACGGCCGGACAGCCGGACGGACGGACGGACGGACGGACAAGCTGATTCCAGTATACCCCCCTTACAACTTTGTTGTGCGGGGGTATAATAATGCTTTCTCTTGAGATTTCTCAACAATTTATAAATGCACTTCTAATACTCTCAGTTTCCTATGCAATTCATTAACCTGAAATAACATTGTATTTATGGATAACTTTTTCTTTGGTTAGATCTCACGTCGCACCAAAACAGTATATGCCATATGGCGACTTTCCAGCTTTACTGGTGGAGTGGACCTCTGGTAATGCACTGTGCATTATTTGAGGCAAAAATAGGCATCTAATTAGAACAACCAATGGCCTGTAAGCTAGCTTGATTGTTTCTCAAAACAGAAAAGGTATCAAATAGGAAAGCGCTTAACCCAGGAACTACTGTATCATCTACATGTATACTAATGCATTATTTCATGACACTATATCCCACAGTGCACTATTAACCATGCAATATCAAACAATAAAACATCGGTTCACTGAAATCCTCATAATGTTCATATTTCACAACAATCAAAAATATTTTTAACGTTAACTTTTCCCAACTAAATCAAAAATCAAAATCATGCTGCCTTTAAAAAACCATTAACAACAATCAGGAATGTTAACTTAATTTCAAAATGTTAACACAATTTTAAATTAAATATACATCAAAACACTTCAATTATTGCTTAATTTTTGCTGTACAAAGTAAAACTGATTTACCTGGTGTGAAAAAAATACTGTACAGTAATCAAATAAATACATAATTAACATAGATTGCCATTTTGAATATATAAGAATTACGATAACAACACAATTACAGTAATATAAATGGATCATTACAATCCACATATTTTGGATAGATATCAAGTTTGTTTACCCTTGACAAAACTGATTCTACCTTTGCAAATAGAGCAGACCAAAATCATTTAAAAAATCCATGCTATCTGGTAATGGTCCGCTCTGTTCACTATTCAGTCAGTATACATTTGTTTAATGTGAAATATTACCAAACAAGAGGGCCATAATGGCCCTAAGGTCGCTCACCTGTATGTAGGCCCCCGGAGCGGGGCCAGTTTAAACCCCAGGGCTTTTATTTGAACAAACTTGGAAGACACCTATAAGAAGACGTTTCATGATGTACACACTTATAATGAAAAACAATGATCTGCCCTCCCCTACCCCTGGCAGGGCCAATTTTAACCAAGGGCTTTTATTTAAACAAACTTGGTAGACACCCATAAGAAGATGTTTCATGCTAAACATCTAAGCTGTAGCTCATTGGGTTTTTTTAAAGAAGATTTTTTAGGTTTTTACTATACACATATAGTTAAAAACAATGACACCCCTGGGGCGGGGCCAGTTTTGACCCCAGGGCTTTTATTTGAACAAACTTTGTAGACACTTACTAGAACATGTTTCATGCTAAATATCTAAACTCTAGCTATTTGGGTTTTTTCAAAGATGTTTTTTAAGTTTTTCCTATACACATATAAGGAAAATCAATAACCCCCCGGGGCAGGGCCAATTTTGACCCCAGTGCTTTTATTTGAACAAACTTTGAAGACACTCACTAGAAGATGTTTAATGCTTAATATCTTAACTCTAGCTATTTAAATTTTTCAAAGAATACTTTTAAGTTTTTGCTATACACATATATAAGGGAAATCAATGACCCCCGGGGCGGGGCCAATTTTGACCCCAGGACTATTATTTGAACAAACTTGGTAGACACCCATTAGAACATGTTTCATGCTAAATATCTTAGCTCTAGCTCTTTGAGTTCTTTAAAAGAAGATTTTTTAAGTTTTTACTATATACATATACATGTAGGGAAAATCAATGACCCCCTGGGGCGGGGCCAATTTTGACCCCAGGGCTTTTATTTGAACAAACTTGGTAGACACCCATTAGAACATGTTTCATGCTAAATATCTTAGCTCTAGCTCTTTGAGTTCTTTAAAAAAAAGATTTTTTAAGTTTTTACTATATGCATATAGGGAAAATCAATGACACCCTGGGACGGGGCCAATTTTGACCCCAGGGCTTTTATTTGAACAATCATGGTAGACACTCACTAGAAGATGTTTCATGTCAAATATCTAAGCTCTAGCTCTTTGGGTTCTTTAAAAGAAGATTTTTTAAGTTTTTACTAAATGCATATAGGGAAAATCAATGACCCCCTGGGGCGGGGCCAATTTTGACCCCAGGGCTTTTATTTGAACAATCTTGGTAGACACTCACTAGAAGATGTTTCATGCCAAATATCTAAGCTCTAGCTCTTAGGGTTTTTTAAAAGAAGATATTTAAAGTTTTTTCTTTTGGTTGCCATGGCAACCAGAGTTCTGCATGGAATTAAATTCTTTGAACAATTTTTAAAGGTGACCACCAAAGGAACATTCCTGTGAAGTTTGGATGAAATTGGCTTTGTGGTTTATGAGGAGATGTCATTTAAAGTAAAAGTTCACGGACGGATGGACGCCGGACGAAAAGCGATCACAAAAGCTCACCCTGTCACTTTGTGACAGGTGAGCTAAAAAAAAAAAGATAATTATTTTTATCCAGACTGAAAGATTAACACGTCCATTTGAGGTATTAAGCATTTAAAGGTAAAATATTTCAGTTATTAACAATGTTTAGGATTCATCACAAATAAAAACCATTTCATGTGAGTGACATTGTAATTATGCTCTCTATACATCAATAAAGGAATGTAACCAAAAGTTTTCAAGGTCCGGAAACCTTACCATAAACAAGTTAAACACATTCCATTTAATTAGTTTCTTAATCAATTTGTTTGTTTTGTTGGACTTACATGTAAAGTCACATTTACACTGTATAGGTCATATGAGCGGTGTCACGACAAAACAAACAACATAGTGTGTTTTGCGACCAGCATGATCAAACCAGACCAGCCTGCGCATCCGTGCAGTCTGATCAGGATCCATGCTGTTCGCTTACCAACTCTATTACAAGTGGAGGAAACTGACAAGCGAACAAGCATGGATCCTGGATCAGAACTGCGCAGGTGGTCTGGATCCAATGCTGGTTCGCAAACACACTATGTTGGTTTTTTGTCGTGACAGGGCTCATATGAATACTTCCCAGCTGTTTACTGTGGAGGCAGACCTCAGGTGCTTCTTTGTGCATTATTTTCAGGGCTAACCCCAAGCTTTGGTACCCGAGAAAGAACAACCGATTCTTTCCATAAACTAGCTTGATTCATTATCAGTTCCTTTAAAAAATTTGGTTTTTCTGTTATATATTTCTATTCATATACACATTTTTACATATAGATTAAGTAACATTAAAGTTATACAGCCATTAGACGGTGTTTTTTTTAGGATGATGAAGATGTTAATCTGTTAAAATTGTCCATCATCGTTATCACAATAAAATCGTTCTACACATTCTTGCCAAAATCTTTCCAAGCCTCGACCCAATGACCATTCGATGATCTCCAGTAATGTACATCTTGCTTGTGGCGTTAGGACCCCTTGAAATGTGATTAAAAAGAAAATTAAAATACCCAATTCATATATGATTTTTTAGTTCCATGGAACTCTGAGATTATCAGTTTCCAATAAAATGGCGCTTTGTCCTCCTCATTCTTGTAAACTGTTTGAAAATTTAGATAGATTTGTATATTTTAACCCACATCTCCACTTTTAAAATTAATTAGGAAGCCGCGTCATGACAAAACCAACATAATGGGTTTTTACAGCATAGATCCAGACCAGCCTGCAACATCTGCGCAGTTTCTGATCAGGATCCATGCTGTTCGCTTATCAGTTTCTCTACTTGTAATAGGATTGGTAAGGCGAACAGCATGGATCCTGATCAGACTGTGCGGATGATTGCGCAGGCTCTGGTCTGGATCCATGCATGGGTCACAAACCCATTTATCGTTGCTTTTGTCATTGATGGGCTCATATATAAAAGTTCTTTGAATTTTTTAGGTGAATGAGAATCCTTAGCTGCCTTTCCTTTTTGCCTAAATTTGACCATGTGTATTAATTTATTTAAACAAATTCAAGTTCTAAAAATCAGGCCATATTATGCATTTGCATCTCAATCAACTGTCTTATCTGTCTATAGACAATAGATCTGACAGACGAGGGCACATCTATAAGCCCCCCCCCCCCCCCCCCCACTCATCAGTCCCAAGTAGTTGTTGTTTGTTTTTTGTTTATTTTGGGTTTTTACGTCACATCGACACAGTATAGGTCATATCGCGACGTTCCAGCTTTACTGGTGGAGGAAGACCTCAGGTGCCCTTCTGTGCATTATTTCAGGCACGAATGGGCACCAGAGTAGAACCACCGACGTTCCGTAAGCTAGCTGGATAGCTTCCTCACATGTAAGAATCCAAAGTCCGTCGGGATTCGAACCCATAGCGGTGAGGGGCTCCAAGTAGTGAGGGCATAAAATTTGAGGGCGTAGTGAATCAAAGTCAGCTATAATAACCACATGTTAACATAAGATGTCTGAAGAAATGTGATATACAGTAATAACGCAAATGCCAAGATTTTAGTCATAGTGATACAGACTTTATTAAGACCTATTATTCCCAAGGAATGCTTTTATTTTCATTTCTCAAAAGTTTTTTTTACTTTTGGTTTACTGTTATAGTTTTCCAAAAAGCTACTCAAGTCATTGTCAAATTTTCTAAACCTTGTATTGCTCTTGGTGCTTTTTGCCAATTAATACAGTTATACATCATGTTATAAATAAATAAATATTTATGCTCCTTCTTACCCATTCCTAATGACCTTTGACCTGATTTTAAACATCATTTGTTCCATTTTATCTCTGTCACTTTGTTCTAGATCTCTTCCAATTGACTGTAACTGAAGTAAGAAAACATACATTTTTATAAACAGATATATTTGATTTAATAGCAACCAAAGTGTTGCAAAGCAGATTCCCTACACACCAAAAATAGTTTTGCGACAGGAATAACAGTATCTGATATTGTGCACTCTCAAAACCAAATTACAACATGATGTTGCACTCTCAAAAACAAATTACAACATTGGATGTGTGCACTCTGCAAAACAAATTACTAGTACATGAGCTTTATTAAACTCAACACCAGTCAAATATTAAAATTCTTGGAATCCAGCACCAGATCAACTCTTTTTCAAAATAAAATCTGGTAATATGGGCTCTTAAAACAGTACTCTGCAGCATCAAATAAGTCACTATTGAAAGATTTTAGATTCAGCATACTCAGTATCATCTCCTTTCCCACTAAAATTAGCTAACATTAACACTTAAATGGAAATAAAGACATTGCATCAAACATTCATGTACCTGTATATTATTAACACAATAATCATCACTGACGAATTGCAGTTGTAGAACTAAAACTAACAAATCTGGAGGTCTTGAGACCATAAAGCATCAGTTTCTTTTCTTAAAAATTTAAAAAAACGCATTGAAAACGGAAGGTATTAACTTACTTGTTTCATTAAGGCATTCATACTCAATCATTATCACATTGCTCACTGTCTAGAATCATATTAAAAAACACTCGTACAGTGGTGAGACTAGAGGTTTAAATACTTCTCCACCTGCTGTCCTCATTGTGCCAAATACTTGACACATAAAACTTAAAATGTTTAAAAATTTTGATACTGATTTTGAACGGAGACTGTCTTTATCTGTAAAATATAACAACAACAACAGAAGTTGAAATAACATTCAATGATTTGCATTCGCAACAAAGTATTATGCACAACCTCACTTATTGAAACATCTTTTTTGGATCAAATACCCTTTTGGATCATTGCAGATCATGTAGATTGATGTATTTCTCAACAATGAGAGGTTTCTTTTTAAATAATTTTCATACAGCTTTTGTCCAATGTACAACAAAAGCATGCCTAGTTCTTTCAAAATGTATATATGAATGACAAAATCCATGACTTGATATGAACATTAATGAATTTTCATGAAGCTATGTCATAATAGTCTTATTGTGACCTTAATCCTGTTCAAGTTCATCATATTTCTTTAAAATATATTTAAGGGAAGTTAAAACAAAATCTGTCACTGAATGACAAAGATATGCTATAGACTGGACATGACTATCAATGCACTATCATATCATGATTTTTGACATAATAAGCAGCATATTTATGCATTTTTTTTTTCAAAATTCATCCATAAATGACATGGACCAGACACAAAGTTGGGACAGACACTGCAAAAACTATATGCCATCCCCATTCAACAGCATAAAAAACATTGGAATTTAGTACCTTTATAATCTGCTTGAATCATTGAAAGCAACAAAGATCTAAACTTTGTTCCATTAACCTCCAACGATGCAAGTTTTTCACATATAAAAGCTCCGGTTTTAGCAAAACTCCCTGTGCTGACGTGAATTTAGGAATATACTTGTTCTGTTACACATAGTTTTATATCATTGTCTGTGTTAAAAGAAGCAGATTCGGCTAACTGATACAACTCGTTTAGATCATGGTCACTAACATCTAGAGTTAGATTATTAAGAATATGTTGTAATTCTAGAAGACTGTCTTGTTTTGATGTTCCTTCTTTCTTCACTTCTACACCATTTTCCGACACCTAAATATATAAGAAAAAAGAAAATTTCATAATCTCATACTATGCTAAATCTTCAACAGACTTGTCAATCCTTCAATCTGGACAGAGCCATATGATATATATATCATTTTAAGTACTTCAAAATCACTCTTGTGTTTTTTCTAATTATATTCATATCACATACATTGTAGATAAGAATATTCAAATTGAAGAAAAATCAAAATATATATATACAAGGAAAAAAACAACAAAAATTGCTTTGTGTGGGGTTTGAACTACTAGTCTTGTAGACATGAATATTTGTCATCAAACAATCAAAGAATACTCCACAGTTTAAAGGGCTATAATTCTAAAACTGTATAGTAACTAATGACAGAGTATTCTCCCCTTAATACAGACATGAACTTAGATTTAACTTAAGTGTTACGTGAAATCACTGACAATTTGCATCATACCAAAATTTTTAAAAAAAATTTTTAAGGCTTGGGTTCTCGAAAGTTTAGCAGGGTTTTGGCAAAACTACCCATAAAAAAGTAACACTGGCAAACAGACCTTTATTAAATTTTAAATAAATTATTGATAATTTAAATTTTTTATCAATAAAAATTTATGATTCCACAACAGCAATAAATTAGTCTTCCCTGTGCAAACTTTGACTACCCTTTCTTTGATTTTATCATCATACAGTCATTCTTATAATCATCCTGGTAGTATAATGTATTATCTAACAGGAACATAATACTTATTTGGCCTGTTGACACATTTAATCATTAAACTCAATGGTAGTATTATCTAACAGGAACATAATACTTATTTGGCCTGTTGACACATTAATCATTAAAAACTAAAAACTGGCGTTGTTTAAGTGTTTTAAAGTGATTGTATATGCTGTTGAAAAACATAGTTACAATCATCAAGAATTATTTCAAGAAATGCTAGAAATATATATAAATTTCTCAAATCATTAATGACATAATGTTGAAAATAATTGCCCACATTTCCGGGATGATCCCTGGTCATAAACTAATCTAAAACATTACTGGTTGGGGACCACCAACCGGACACTTTTTAAACATTTTTCCATACAGATTTTATAATTTTAAAGTTAGAGATCTGAAAATTTGACACAGTACAGCTATGTTCTTCTCCTAACTAACATACTAGTTTGTTTATTTCTGATTAATATTTTGATATTTATATCTGAGGCCTGTGAAGGAGGGTATCAATAAATTGTCCACACATGTCATCAGTACAATGTGTCCGGACAGATATGTCCGTGATTAAATTCAATAAAAGCTTTGGTGTTTTATTTTTTTTTATTTTTAACATGATATAAAATATTTCAGCAGCAAATGCAGAAGTTTTGGATATTCTGTTATTCACTCTGCAAATGATTATAGATAGTATAAGAGGTCAGACGGGCATTGCACTCTTGCGTCCTTGAAAGACATTAAAATATTACCATTCAAGAAAATTGAAATAAATTTACTTACTTAATTATAGAACAAACATGCAGTTACTGTTGATATAAAAGCGGCAGAACCACTGAACAAATAAAAAAACCCTAAATCATGAATTTTCACAGCCGTCCTGGTTTGATGGTTGTCCAGTTTTGGTGGTCTTCAACCAGTATGTATTTTGTGTTACCCCACGAAAAAAGGATTCATGAGTGATTTAATCATTAATACATTGTAATAATGCAATTGAGTTGTCAATTATTTGTCTGTGGTGGAAACACCTAGACATAGATATTGCTTGGAAAAATACCCTTTCATTCTGGACCACCACCTCATGTGTCAGCAGAAGAAAAATATGTTTTGCAGCGGTATTGCAGAAAACGCTGTCAGTGCTGAGAGTGTGCAGATAATCATGAGGTACCCTTATATATGTATAGATCTACATGCATTTTGATTTCAGACATGTGGAGTGAGTGTGTACTGGTAAACTGGGATACAAAGCGTTAATTGATTACAGAATAATATGAATAAAGCTGATAAAAGAACAACGTATTTTGGACTCCTGATTAATCTTTCATGATACTCCACCCACTTCTCCAAACAAGACGAATCAAATTAATAGCTTCAAAAATCATTTTAGACAAGAAAATACTTTAAGACTATGCATAACAATGAAAACAACCTTAGGATCTTCTGATGCAATACTTCCAGGCCGTGTTTGGGCATCTTCTGGCAGTTCTCTAGCTAATAAACCTCGTCCCCGGCCCCTACCACGTCCAGCAGCAGCCATTTTGAAAATAATTTAACGGTGCGTATGTAACTTTCATCTAATTGATTTAGTCCACTAACTTTTATTTACTTATCTATTTCTTTTACAGTAAATAAACCGTAATAAACCGTAATAAATATAAAATATGTTGAAATCATAGCTTTTATATTAAAATATTTCCTCAAATATGTCATTGAGATTATTATTACACCTTAATCTGACATACCTGTTATTCCGACACATACCATAATGAAAATCATCACTTTAATTGATATTTTTATTGATAAATATGTGACGTAATCTATTTGTTGACGTCATGAAGATTTTTGGACCACACAGTCGCCATTTTGTTGACATTGGTCAGTCACAAAGTTCCAGTCCCAAATTTAGAAAACCAAATAATTTGCTTCTTGAAAAAAATTTCAGAGGCCGAACTAAGTAACTTTATGTAAGTTTGCTACTTCAAATTTGTCGATTTGTGCTTTTCTATAAACAACTTTTAAAAGTTGTTTTCTCTGCAGCGTATAAACATTTATATTTTCTCGCCATGGCGAGTAGGAATTCTCGTTATTTCGACACGTGTGATAAAAGCTGTGCAACTAAATTGAAATGTATAAAATAATTGATGTTCACTCAAATTAAAACAAAATAGGTAATTGGAGTCAAGTTTTCCAGCTTAATTTGTTTATTATTTTACTTTGTCAGATACAGTGTATTTTTTAATTTGGCATATTGAAAGATAAAGAGAATCAAAATTTAAAAGCAAATAAATAAATTACCCGAGATATTGCTTTAAAGTAAATCTGACAATACCAGGAAATTATATTCGTCTTACTTCAGAAAATGGATTGCATGGTGCAATCAGATGAAAAAGTTAAAATAGATCCCGTCTTGGATTTTCACATTGCTTTGTTTTTAGTTTCATTGATTTAAAAAGAACCTATGTGAGTCAAAAACGGTTAATTCAGTTTTAACTGCGGCAAAAAAGTTGTACGGTTCACCTGTAGATAAGAAAAAAGTTTTGACATCTGAAGACATTACAAAGATGTTTACAATCCTTCCGCTTGACGCTGTAGATTTGTACAAACTAAGGACATAAACTTTTGTTGTAACAGATTTTGCCGGATTTCTTCGCATTCCAGAATTAAGAAATTAAAAATTTTCTAGCGTAGTTTACAAAGATCACCTGGAGTTATGTATTAAGGCCCTGTCACACCGCAACAGCTTAACTGGAGCGTTCCTGGAGCGGTGAAAAAAAATCATCACCGCTCGTTACCGTTCGTTCATCAGAAGTTGGCCCCCGTTAGGGCAACGCTCTTTACGCTCGGCCACCGCTTATGGTCCCTTCTTCCGCTCCGAAAGTTTTGAGCTGCACAAATGTTTAGATGCGGCAAAGTTTACCACCGCCCCAACAACGCACAGTCAAAGTTTGGCACCGCTGGACGCAAGTTCATGGACGCTTGAGCCCGCTTGGCCAACGCAGAATACTCGAACGCTAGACCACCGCTGCTTCGCCAGCTTTTCCCGGGCAGTGATTAAACGTTGCACAAACTTTGGTGGGCGATTGTAAGCGTTTTACGAGCGAACACGGGATTGTTGGAACGGTGTAGGGCGTTGAAGCAGCGATCCATTGTTGTGATGAACTTCAATTGGTTTTTCGTTGGTATGGAGGTTGCGGAGCGGGACCATAATTTGTCTATAAATACCGGGAGAAATGGACCAAGAGCCGATTTGGAAATTCTATCACAGCGATTCGTTCAGCTCCGTAGTCAAAAGCAGTACGCCGCTAAATCAACTTTAAACCACCGCCGAGCCAACGCCCGAATGCACAGAACACCGCTCTACATCAACGCTCGTGTCAACGCTCAACCAACGCTTGCTACCACTTCCTACCGTTAAGCCAACGCTATAGCAACGCGGGCTTTAGAGGTGCACCGCTAAGGCAACGACCGTGTTTTCGATTTTTTTCATATTTATGCGCGGTGACTAGCGTTGTCGAAATTCGGTCCCCTTTTCCTACCGTTCAAGGAACGCTACAACAAAGTTCGGGTGGTGTGACTGGGCCTTTAGATCCAAGTAAAACGGATCAAACGAACAAGGACAGAATGGCCTTATCGCGAAAACAGTAACATGTCCTTATAATACGCTAAGTCTTTACTTTAAAAAGGGAATATTAAAACTAGCAATGATTTATTTCTCTTTCTTTACACAAAAGAAAAAATTTAAATATATTTAGAAATAATTTAAGTTTATGATATAAAAGATTCAGGGAATTATTCCGGGAAATCCTGTCAGAATTAGATTTCAATCCTGATTTATACGACACACCAGTTTAAGACGCGGCAGTTCTACCGCCAGCGCCATGCATGCCATTTCAGACAGATTATTTAAAAAGCACGACGGTGACAAAGTGATAAAGCAAAACACGGTTATGTTGCCGAAAGCTATTCGGGAAAGATATCAGTTACTCAAAACTTAAGATTTTGACTTGCTATATTATCTTTTAGATTAAAGAGTTTGACTGTGTTGGTCGTTTTATATTATTTTTTTAATAGTTAAATACTTAACTTAAATTTTGTAAAAGGATTTTATTAAGACTTATCAATTTTGCATTTTTAAATATCAGTGATTATTCATTTGGATTTTCCCTTCTTTTTTTCTCGACAGCTTAACGGCATGCCCCCTAACCTCGTTATATGTTACGTTTTTCTTTAAAGGTGCTTGAATGTAGGTGTATGTTGGAGGATAATAAATCATTGATGATAAAATAAGCAATAAAAATCGAACCTATAACTGCACGCACACATGGCGAGCATCCTTTCTTTGCGCCGGTAGCAAATCTGAACGAACTGCTGTTGCAAATTCTATATATAAAATATCAGTGAAAGAGCCCATGTAAATAAACCCGTTTGTTTTAAATCCAAACTTTACCGTACTATTTAGATTATAGAAAGTCGTGGTAAAATTTCTCCACGCAGAGCCTTATTCCTAATATGTCACGCTTCCGCATTCGCTCAATACATTCGTAGGTTTCGTTTGTAATCATGTGACATGAAGGCTTAATTGTGAAAAAACAAACAAACAAACAAACAAACAACAACAACAACAACAACAACAAAAACAACAACAAAAAAACCCAAAGCAAACAAAAAATAACACTTATTATTGTATATTTTTCAAGAAATAAGCGATGATTTTGAATGATAAGGGATCGATCTTTAAATTAAGTTAATTAAGTTAACAGTTCCTCTGTCCAACATAAAGATCATATAGCTTGTCTCGGAGGAGTTCTCAGTGGCATTTTAAAGTAATTTCTAAGAAGCTTAATTATGGGAGTTTTTGAGTGTTTCTCGTTTACAAATTGACGCTTTCTAACGTTTAACTTAAATTTAACCAACCGTCAAAGAAATTACCCCTATTTGAATTCAAAGTTTAAGGTCTGATCAAATCTCAACGATATTTTTATCAAAGTTTAAGGTTAAATGTTGGCAGGGTCAAATCTCAACGTTCAGAAAAAATAACCCAGGATCAATCTTTAACATTACAACACAAGCAAGTGCTTTCAACATTTAAGCTGACTGTCGCATCAATCACGAAAAGAATACATCAGTTATCAGGAACTTTTATTTCTGAGCATCAGCAACTTTCTGCCATTCAAATAAAATTACACAACATTATGTATGAATGATTTGATATATCAAGTTTAAAAGATTACACTAAGTTGTGGTTATAAATCAAATCACCCCCGTCTTTAAGGCTGGTCTGGATCCACGCTGGTCGCAAACGCATTACGTTGGTCTTGTCGTGACGCGGCTCATATATACTTATATGTTGATTAAAGTTAACCACTGAATAAAACATTTTATCATAAACCTATATTTTTTCTCCTTAGAATATACGCCAATCAAGTGCTAATACGATTCAACGAATAGAAAATTAGTACATGTATAATATATGTGACACATACGGTACCATATTTGGACATGTCCGTTGCATGGTTCCCATCATAGCTGTGTATATCTAGTATTTAGAAATGCTAAAGAGAACTCTTTAGCAAATTATGATTCTACTTGGTACCTGATGAAATTTATCTCATCTCCAAGTTCGACAATGCTGCATACAAAATTTCCAAGTTTGTACACATAATTATCTCTCTTTAATAGATTAATTTCACTCTATAGATTGGATCAGATTTGATTCATATAATCGAGATCTTATTATAATGTTTCAATGGTTCAAAGGTAACAAGGGGTACATTTCAAATGTCAAAGGCATGGCAAATTTTTATTCCCCGATGTTTTATTAAATAGACGTACTAGAAAATATTTAACTCGACCAACCATATAGTTGTACATTCAGACCATATTTGTAAGTTTTTTGTTTGTTTTTTTCCCATAAATTTATTTTACCAAAGTAACAAATAGATTTAGACCGAGGCTGACACCAGAGCCATAATTTATGTCACATTTGTCAACTTTTACTTGAAAATTATACGTTCTAGTTACTTTAAATTGGAAGTTTAATTTCCTTAGAAAATGAAAATACCTTATAATTATGTTTTCCTTTCCTCATCTATATAATTGTCAGCGGGCCTTATTCAAAATGACGTCAGCTGTCCGACAAAAAGATATAGTGCTCGTCTGAGCTGGCACTATTACCCTTAATCATAGTAGTGTACCGCGATGAAGATTTTACAAAAATGCGCATTATACTAAGCTTAGACCCCGAAGTTTTCAGTATAATTTAAAAGAAATGATTTTGTTCAGAAAAATGTATTCTTTTCTTGTTGAAATTTTACCGTTTCGTTCTAGTTAAGTGCCGTATAAGAAATAGTTCTCAGTACTTCGGGTTTTATACACAGACACTTAGGGTTGGATCTCAAAACGCATTAAAATCTAAGCACGTATATACATAATATGGTAACAAGCATGGCTCCGATTGTAGACAGGCTGGTTCTCACATCTAATCGCGACGCATTTAAATAGTGTTTGAAATGATTTATATTGAATAAATTATGTAAAATGATTTTTTAGGTAGATGAGATAAGCTAAAATCCATAACTAATGAGCCACTGAAATACACCTGTGATTATCTTTATTCTTTACTTTTTTGTATTATATTAAATATATCCAAGTACCACACAGAGAGTGAATACTCGTTTATGTAGTATTTTGATTGTCAAATATATCTAAAATAAATAGAATAAAAGAAATCGGCACCGATTTTGTAAAAAGGCAAGCGTAATTCCTATCCAATGAAATTTTTGTTGATCCAGGACTAAATCAGACTAAAACACAATCACCTGTTTCTTGCTGATAAGATTCGCTTGCAATGTAACAGAACGATAAGCAGAACATTAATCAAAGGTATGTTATCTAATCCCATGAAGTAAAATTGTGTTCAGCCAGGCACGGCCTTTCATTTCTGTCTTTAATAAACATAGATTTGTCAAAGAAGCTCTTAAAGAATATTTCAAAAACAAGAAGTCGACACGTATGAATACATTTTAATACTAGCTTTGCAAAAAGGTAACGAAAAAGCAACAAAAAATAGACATCGTTATTTTTTTGTACAAACACACGGAAGATATAATTTATACTGTGTTGACATTGTACTGCTGTAAAAAGTTTTCGTAAGCTAATTATAAAGTCCTCAGATGGTTTGACATTGTACTGCTGTAAAAAGTTTTCGTAAGCTAATTATAAAGTCCTCAGATGGTTTGACATTGTACTGCTGTAAAAAGTTTTCGTAAGCTAATTATAAAGTTCTCAGATGGTTTGACATTGTACTGCTGTAAAAAGTTTTCGTAAGCTAATTATAAAGTTCTCAGATGGTTTGACATTGTACTGCTGTAAAAAGTTTTCGTAAGCTAATTATAAAGTCCTCAGATGGTTTGACATTGTACTGCTGTAAAAAGTTTTGTTAGCTTATTATAAAGTTCTCAGATGCATACTATAAAATAAAGAGCACGTTTCTAAATATTTTGCTAAATTTTGACGGTGAAACATGTATATTCAATACCAGTAATTATCAATTCAAGTATACTGATGTTACCTATTATTCCCAGTTGAAATCTTTAATATGAAGTCTGACCATAAAAGCATTAATATTAAGGAACGATTGCAGACATATTTTCACAGTCTTTTGACATAAACAAAATAGTATCATAACAAAGAATAAACAAACTCAATCAATCATATATCATTTGAAAAAGGGTGTAGTGTTCTTCTAACAAAGATAAACAAAACTAAACAATAACACATAGAAACATAATGCTAAACATTGAGATGCGCTACAAAGAGGAAACATAAAATGTTATGCTAGTCATTAGTTTAAAGTGTCCTTAAACGTCATATTTCTATCTTTGTGATGTCAATAGCAGATAATCCGCCCACTTCCGTATTCCGTGATTCAGTTGTCCGTTGTGAGGAATCATCAAACTCAAATGGGTCTTCATTGGTCTTAAACGGCGACTGACTTGTATGTTCAACGTTTGCTTTCAATGACGTGTTCTTCGCCTCAATGGGTTCCTTTGGATACGACAGCAGCAACTGACCAGGTTTAAATGAGGGTTTAGAAGATTTTAACCCTTTGTGCTTAAATGCATGGTGAGGAGGAAGCATTACACCTGGTGCTGTTGTAAATGATGTTATTGCAGGAACGTTGCTGGAATCGTCGAGTAATGTTGAAGCCGCAGGAGTTCCTGGTCGAGCAGATTCTAGAAATATTGAAGCACTTGTTGTAGGCCGCTCTTCGTCCATCTCAAATGTCTCATTTATCTCTGAGCTCTTTAGATCAACCCTTCGAAAGAAGAAAGCAAATTCAAATACTGAATACATCACATTCTAAAAACATAGAGTGACTATGAATTTGTACATTATTAAAGAAATAAATCCTGTAATATCCTCGGTCATAACAGCACTTGGCAAAAGACGACACATTATCTAACATAGCTCAGGTAATTCGTAAAATAGCAACGGATGTTGTTTAAGGACTAATATTTACTTGCATGCTTAAGCCAGTATTTACGATTAAGAAAATTGTCTACATTCTTTTTATCTAGACTGTTTAACAACTTATTTCGTTTTTATTTAAAATATTATGATATTACTTACGTGCTAGGAGTTACTTTGTTGACTTTGTAAGTTTTGAACCTATTTACTAACTTCCAAAGCAGGAACGATGCCCCTCCAATAGCAAGTATTGAACATATCAATATGGCCATTAATTTTGGTATGTTAATGTTACATTTATATTCGTTAATCAAATCTTCACAGTCAAACATAAGAGCACAAGGTTCCCACTGACACTCATTCGTTTCGGCCTGACACCATTGACCCTCATATCCAGGGTGACATACACACTGGAAATCTGAAAATGATATGGATCGTAGTACGTCATCACATCCAACACTTGTAAGCGGACTGCAATGACCATAAACACACGGATTATTCAGAATAAATAACTGAACTGTAACAGATGGAGTAAAACTGCTATCAGCTAGTTTTGCGATGAATTTAAGACTCATGTTGCCACTGACTTCTGGAGAAAATTCAAAACTTACGCCGTATGCCTGTAAGCTTTTGTAAAACTTTGATGTTATATTTTCTAGTTCGATTGAAGAACCATCTGAATTAACAAGTCCATATGTTGAATTTCCAAGGGGATTAAAGTCCACTTTTACTTTAAACTCTTCATTTTCATCAACATCTGCCAACAAAATTTTTCCAGCGTCAAAAGAAGATGATCGATTTGCATCGAGGATGAACGTCATTTTCAAGGAGGGCCGAATATCTGAATAAATTGTACCATTCAAATCTATAAAGTACCTATCCGTTCTGTCTGGAACTCCTGATACATTCAGAGTTATTATCTTTTCATTAACGAGAGCTTCTTCGAAATCTGGAAGACCGGTCTCCGTAACCTTGACTGTAATAGAATCTTCGCCATTAAAATCTTCATTAGATGTACAATTGAGCAACCCAGTTGTATTTTCAATTTCACACATCACGTTGGATGGGCTCTTTGTTATTTCAAACACAAGAGTATCATTTTCTAAATCAACAGTTTTAATGTGCAATTTACTAGGAGTATCTTCTTTTAGGTGCAGAACATCAGTTACTATAACTGGTGGGTTATTTGGAAATTTGCGAGAAATTTGTGAAAGAGCAAAAGTCCTTGGAGACTTGTACATTGATGTAGATTCTCTCTTTGTTAATGATGTTGTCTCCGTACTTGATTTGCATATCTGAAATTTAAATTCGAAAGATGACTTCAAAATAAAATATCAAAAATTAAGAAAAATGTGTAAATACATAATATATTACTAGTATTTTATATGTGTACTTCTGTTCATTGAACGTTTCTTAAAACAATGAGGTCATAAGTACTTGTTTATGCACTTATAATCATCAATATACACAGCACTGACCAAACCTACCTCAGTGAGATACACATTTGATGTAACCACAGCTGTCAAATGGTCTCTGCATCCTTCGTCTACATGAACCCATTGCTCCTTGTCTAAAATAATATTAAACATTATATATTACATTTATATAGATAAGTAAAGACTCTTTATGCTGTTTGGTTGTGTGTGTTTTTTTTTAAATTTTTATTAAATATACCGGGGTATATAATTAATTATAAAAAAACATTCTCACATTGCCGTCGCATTTGAAGAAAGTTTTAGAATTCAGTATTAATTATTAAGCAGCTTTATCACCAGTTAAAATATCAAGAAAAAAATCCCATCCAGAGGGGTGAATCATTGCCAAATATACACAATTAGATCAAATCAAAATTTGTTTGAATGAAAAAAAAAATAACTTTGCAATATCGTTTACAGCATACACCAACGAAAACCTAAACGTATTTGAATAATTGTTACCACTATTCCAGAACATTAATGCAGGTTGGTTATCTGGATCTTTCTCACATCCACTGGGCACCGTTATATTTATCTTTATATGTTCGTATTCAGCCAATGGGGACGGCGATACAAAGAATGTCATATTACATAACTTTTTTATTCTGAAAAGCCAAGAACATGCGTTTTACATTTGTCGATGGCTCAAACATCAGACGAGAGACAACTAATCTCGGACAAATGTGTCTAAAGGTCATTTGAATCTTGTTGCAAATTAAGAAATCATTTATTGCATTCCTTTGCGAGAGAACTCGTCAATATATATGTGTCTGGTGCATTTTCCGGTAAAGCCGATAAGACCTACCTATGACCATAATGTGTTGAAACAGGCGTTACAAACAAAAAATATAGTATCAATTCATATTGTGTTCAATTTGTGTTAAATATGGTATATAATATTTCTTTCATTCATCTTAAAGGATGTCAGTGTTTATACCTGTTTCTTAAAAGTCTTGTTGTTTGATCAAGTGAAGTTGCCGGGTCCTTGATGAAAGGTTTGTAGTCGACAGTAGCAGCACTTCCGTAGTCACTAGACAGATCCTCCTTTGTTAAAGTTCCTAGACTTAAACCACCATTAATCACTATTAAGAGAGATGCGTCATATTAACTTACTTTTACACTTTTATTTAATATTTTTGAAAGAACATGAATTTTTACTATAAATGTGGTAAAGCCGACAATTCAGAATAAAAAATCCGGTATTTCATGAATTAATTAAAACTAACATTGAAAAGAATTATGGACTTCAAATACCGGTTTTTATTTTCATTTAATTTGAATTAAAACCTAGAATTTTCATCAAGTTGAATATAAACAAATTCAGACGTTCCGAGACGAGCTTTGTACATGAACATAGTATTTATCTAAATTCTATATATAGGTAACCGACAAAAATTTTGCGGATTCGGAGTACAGTAGGCACGTCTTTTGTTGTCCATTTTATCCCGCGGTATTAAATTCTCCATTCTGATGGGCAGTATAAGGGTAGAATTGGTAAAAATTGTATGTGGTTGTCTGGTAACTGCGACAAAGAACTGTAACTGTAAACCTATTTGACTGCCCGGCCAGTAGTTATCGATAAAATCATTTGTTATTGTTATTTTTCAGATATAATATTTCGTTATCAAAACAGTACTATAATGGGGCGTCCGTAGCCAAGCGGTTAAGGTCGCTGACTTCAAACCACTTGCCTCTCACCGCTGTGGGTTCGAATCCCAACAGTGACTTTGGATTCTTTTATGAGAGAAAGCTATCCAGCTAGCTTACGGAATGTCGAAGATTCTACCCATTCGTGCCTGAAATAATGCACACAAGGGCACCTGAGGTCTTCCTTCACCAGTAAAGCTGGAACGTCGCCAAATGACCTATACTGTGTCGGTGTGAGGTAAAACCCAATCAAGTCAAACCACTACTATAATACGTACGACTGGCATCAATAGCAATTTGTGACAAAGGAACTGCACTTGCGCTCCATTTATCGGATGACTTTGGTTTTGAAGCCACAACTTTCTTTTGCGTCGCATTTAGAAATATATCATTTACACCTAAATTTAAATAAAAAAATTAAACTTGTATTAGCTTCATGGATATGCATTGATAATTAAACTTTATTAAATGAATATATATAAATTTTGTTTTATACATTTCATGTTGTTGCTCGCATGTGTTAATAGAAATTCATGGATGTTTGAGTCTTTAAAAATATTGAATATCAAAAATAAGAAAGAATGAAAAATAAAATCAACTTCTGTAACGTCTTAGTTTGGAAATTGTGACGAAGCCTTATTAGATGTTGAATGATTGTTGTGAATCTTCCTTTCCTAAGAAATAAATGTACACACATCTGGATCAAAATATATTAAATGACTACAAGCAATTAAGTAAGATCAAGGGATGAAGTTCTTGAAATAAATCATACTTACGTTTAACACAAACAGTTTTTCCTTGTATTTTACTTTTCAAGTGAGAATATCCAATAGCATAAAGGGACTGATGTACACAGCGACCTGGTTCCATGTTAAAGAAAGCCTTTTCCTTCTCATCTGTTTCGGTAATGTTACGTATTTCATCTGGCGTCATACTTGTCATATTTCTAAACTCCGCTACTGATTTATTTATTGCTTTCCTGTTAAACTCAAGCTTTCCATGAACAATAGCTGATGATCCAACTTTTCTCTGTCCAACTTTAACCGGTGGAAAAACGTCCTGTCCGTTTCTAGTTGTTCCAATTTGCCATTCTGTCAAAATTATTATTTTTTTAAATCTTGTTTCAGCAAATTAACATTTAAGGCACAAATCAACTCTTCTGCTTGAGACGGTACTTTAGTGTATGATAGTTATCTTTTCATGAATAGACTCATTCACATTTATTCTGCACTGTTCGCTGTCACTTTTCATCTTACTCAAATCTTTTATTGGATCTTGTTTACAATTTTAACAATAGGAATTTAAAAGTAATACCAAAAAATATTTACTTAAGTGTCTGTTAGAATTGAAATAAATAGTTGTTGAAAAGAGATGTTAAAGAGTGTTTTTGCCAAGTATTGTAGTTTATACGATCATGGATCTACTAGTATTGGCTTTGAATAAAGGTATGGCATTAGACTTCAAACAATTGCCATGTTATTAATATAAATAAAAAATAAAAGCTAAGAGAAGTGGACAGTGCTTTACACTTTTTATTTGATATACTAGTACTTACGATAAAATTCTATTTTTGAATTGCCACCTTTCCACTCCATTCCTATTTCTGTTTGTGATGAAGTCAAATATGGTTCATCCTCATCTGCCGACACATACGAGGCATCGGTGTATAGTGGCGCAGTTGCCGCCCCTGATATATCCGGTGGAAATAAACTGACTTGAACTTTGCAACTTTTCGTAACTGATAAACCGGCGGTATTGACCGTTGTCACTTCTACTACATAGTTTCCACCATCCCTGAAAGTATCATTTTCTAACCTGAACGCCATTTTTGTCTTTAAATGAACCGACGTACTATTCATTACAGTTTCATTATTGCCAGAATTGAAAATTCGTACAATATATTTTTCAATTTGACTTATATCTTCGGAACAGTTCCAATAAGCACCAATTGTTGAACTTGACCCTAAATGTTGTGTCGGTTCATCTTTACTATAATCAGGATCTAGACATTTTACATAGTCACATTCCGGTGGCGTAAGGTCTATCTGTATGGCATTTGAATACGCTAATGTTTCTAAACCTGCATAGTTAACGACCTTTACGTTCATATAGTACGCCGTACTGTTACATTGTATATCACTTGTAACATTGTTACATGAATCACCAGCACTACTTGATTTCATATCTAAACCTTTTACGTCAAGAGAAATTAATTCAAACCCATCATGAAGTGTTTCGTGTGAACATGGCTGTTTACAAAGGGTCTCGCAAAGGCCTTGACAAGGGTAGCAATATTGTTTATACAGTGAAAGAGGAAGCACATTGCCGAATTCAAATTTACTGTTAGACACTCCGAGCCATATCTCCTTCACACTACTTTCCCCATCATAAAACCCTCGACCATGACGACACAGTTTATCCATTTCATCTGGTATATCAATCTGGCGAATTACAGCGTCGCTGTAAAACGGGTTGTAAATATCTGTTATCAGTGGTTTGTAACCGTTTTCATTCCAAGTCAGTGCTGTGATTTTCATGTCACCAAAAAATTTGAAACCAGCTATGTTTATAATTTCTTCGCCATCAATAATCAGCATAAGATCTAAAGTTGTTTCCAAATATTCTGATTTTTTGTCTACTCGGATTGTAACCTTATGATAATCAGCTGAAAAATCAAATGGAAGGCTGAACCATCTTTGTATACTTGTGATCTTATTTCTAGCCCAGAACACATGATGCCAGTGTTTATTGTTTGCAATCTTATATCCTAGAAAATGTACTCCGAAACCATATTCATCAATATCAAAGTTAGTGTCCGTACTAGTGGTATTATCATTAGATGGCACAAAAGATCCCGGCTTTTTTGTAGTTGTACTTGATATTGATGTTATATTTGTGTCTGTGATATTTGTTTGAGGAACTTCAACTTCAAGGCCCGTCATATTTTCAAATACACTTTCATCAAATTCAATTTCAATAGGTTTTTCTTTAATGATAAACGGTACAGCAATATTATCAGTAATTAGAGCAACAGTTGTAACTATATTTTCTCCCTTTGCAATCAGGGTGTTGAGAGTATAATTACCCCTTTCCAAAGTAAGTGGTTCAGAAACGATACTTGATTTTGTAATTTCACTCAAGTCGGCGTTATAACCTATCCCAAGAAAAGCTCCCGTACGGTTAACAATAACGAAGTCTGTACTAAAATCGCCGGAAAATAGATGAAATTCAGTATCATGAACATTTAGGAAAAAATGTTTTTGCGTTGGGCAAGCGTACTCGTCAGACGTCGTTGCAATAGCTAATAAACCATGTAACTCCGATGTTGAATGTTGAAATGTATCCAAAGAGTACCAATCCTTTGCAATCTTCACATTACCTGGTAACGGGACACTTGTATCTACTAAAATAGATTTACTTAGAACATTTGTCACCAATTTTGCCCCATTAGTTAAGGTAATATTTATATGGTATACCTTTTGTGAACTCAATTCAAGCTCATAAAAAGCAGTTTTGTCATCATTTTCTACCTTATTCTCGGCTATGGGGATACAATTTGAATTTGATACTCTGTCAATACCACATTTCCTGCATTCAAGAAGAGAAACTTTTGTTTCTATAACTCCAGACTCGTTATCGTTAAAATCAGTCCACTTTACCTCCATTTCTGAACTGGAATCAGCAAAAAGAACAGTCTCGCTGCGAATGTTATTGACAAACAGAGATCCTATGCGTGGTGGTGATGTGTCTACGAGGATTTCTTCGCTTGTAATACCAATACACATTCCAGCTTCATCTTTGGCGATGATGGTTACAAAGAACTTATCTCCATGTTTCAGTTTTAGCCCAGATACCTTCTTGTATTCATCTAATCCAACGTTTGATAAACCAAAAATGTCATACTCAGTTGAATTACGATAAAACGTCAAACATTTTTGGGTATCGTTTGTTATGACATTGTCATGGCTACTTATACCGACTACGTAGTCAATAATATCAATATCTGATCTAAATCCCGTCCAAGATACCTCTACAGATGTCGTAGACGATTGGTATTTATCAATAGACATTGTACCTGCACTGATATCGTCATTAAAACCAACTCGTATGCCGTTGGAATAGCCTTCTGTATAACCTCCTGCCATACTATACGACCGAACTGTGACGTAATATTTCACTAGTTTTGAAGTAAGATTTAAAGCTTTAAAGGTGTATGAAGTATTAAGCCCAACATTTACAAAGAAATGAATATTTGATCTTGTTTTCTCATAACGTCTGTCATTACCAATGGAAACTTCGTAATGGTGAATATCTTGCGTAGGGTCTTTTGAGCCATCACCAAAATCATCCCAATTTGCAGATAATTCTGTTGTACTAAATTGATAATTCAAATCCTCAAAAAGTCCATCTCTTACCAGTCCAGGAACAGGCGGCTGAATACGAACTGAGACGCCGTCTGAACGTGCAATTTTTGTCCGACCTAAAAAGTCAACAGTTTTTACAGTTACAATGTATTTCATTCCATTTTCCAATGCTACCTCATCGTTATAGAATATGTTAGCCGCAGATGGAATAGATTGAAAGGCAAAAAGTACTTTTCCAGTCAGATCGCTTGCAGACCACAACGCTTCTTTGACAGGACAGAGATCTGAATACTTCCATTTTCCTTGGAGAAGATTAGGCACGGACTGGTAATCTATGTCTTCATCCTGTGCGCCATCGCTCACTGAAAGTACTGGTGACTGGCTTATGACAACACTGTCTGATGTTACTTCCGTTTTCAATCCGGCGTGATTGTATAATCTTAAAGTCGCGTAGAATATTGCTCCCTCGTGTAAAGTAAAACCGTCTACAAATATTACACCGTTTTCTCCTACCTCGACTGGCGTATAGTCAAGAATGTCTGTAGCGTACGGAGCATGCCCGATAGAAACTTCATACCTGTTGTATAAACAAAAATGTATATAATTTGTAGACTGTTTTATTCAAATAATGTAAAAAAGACTCAAAACTGCATACACTTGTAAAGTACTTTTTTGTATTAATCAATTTAAATGTAATATGGGGTTAAATGTATTTACCTATCATGATCAATACCAGATTCATCGTCTGTTATACCATATGGACGGAGCTCGACAAATCCTCTTGGTAACTGGCACTTTTGATGGTCTGATACGTTTCCAGCCCCAATGTTTGTGACAACTGCAAGACGAGCTACTTTCGGAAGGGTTCGGTCGACAACAACTTTCTTGCCATATGTTTTAGTGTGTCCCACAACATTTTGGACATTCACATTTACAAAAATTGATGTCACATTCTGTTTCACTTTAATATGGTCATTCAAATCACGAGTAAACGACCTGAACATTTTTGTTACAACATAATTATCTAAAACATCAGTTGACATACTGTTAGATCCCAATGAAATAATAATTTTATCAATCAGACTTTCATATTCCTCAACTGCTTCCCATGTGCAAGTTAAAATACTTTTTCGCGCCGAAATATACTTAGTACAATCGAAGTTCCTTATCAAAGGTGCAGTTGTATCAGCAATTATAGCCAATGATGACGTTACGTTGATATTACCTGCCATATCAGAAGAATTTGTTGTTATGAAAGTTGCATCTCCAGGTGAAAGCGTCACAACACTAGTTATTTCGGAAAAGTCTCCTGTAAATGGATGTCGGTCGTCTAGAAGGGGCAATGATCCCAAAGCCCACTCAACAGAAGATATCGAATTTGTGTCTGTTACATTGGAAGAAATTGAGAGTGTATCCGTTGCACCCTGGTAAATAACATTTTCAACATTAACAATTGCAGTATCATTAGAGTTTTCAATTTTATATAAAACCTCTGGTGGAATTCTATCTAGGGTGATGCCGTCTGACGAGGACACAATGTATTCATCTTGGCATCCTGTAATAGCTCTTATTGTAATGAAATATTTTGTATCTTCAAACAATTCAATATGAATCTGACATTGACCGTGTGTCTCGTTTAACATAACAAGTCCATAGTTTGTATATGTCTGTATGTCCGTTCCATACTCCGATGTACCTATTGCCCAGTCATAGCTTAGAATATTACAACTCTCACTCTCAAAACCATAGAATGATGCTGCA